AGAATAACAAAAATAACTTAATAAACAAAGAAAGTGGAAAGGCACAATACTGTTATAAATTTTACATAGTACAACAGTAATTATATAATATTTTATTTTATTTTATTTTATATTAATTTTACTAATTGATTGTATACGGCGCGCGCGCGCGTGCGCGCACGTGTGTGTATGTGTGTTAAACGAGAAATGTGAGCATCGAACTGTGAATATGATAAAGGATCAATGGATTTTATAAAGAAATCTGTCGATGATGAGAGGTTTGCGTCAAAACGATGCCTGAATCTTTAGGCCACACGCGCTTTCCTCGTTGTAGAATATGCGTGCACGCCTATGGGCCTACTGACACACATGCCATACGAAGCATATGTGCGTAAGTGCGCGGAGGGAAGGACCAAGGTGTCGTATTGCTAAGCCTAGGGTTTAGTTTTTATACTAATTAGTCACTGGCTTTCTTCTGGCTGTCAAACATTACGACCGCCTCTCCCTAGGGATGCTCCTTCTCCAGACCGAATTCGAGCTTTACGTGTCTCATTTCTTCTCTTCCTCTTCTCTTTCTGGACCCTTTTTTGTGGGTTTTTGGTACGATGACGATGTTACCGAATTATGCCGATCAATCAAGTTTCCATAAAATCATTTGTCATCCAACATTTGTCAATATTTGTAGCAGAATCTTTTACGATTACCATTATGAAGTTAAAAGAAAAAGAGATATTTTGTTCTTATAAATTTTATATCATTTATTTAACGATTAATGTAAAATTGTAATGTTTTTCTTTTCTCTTCTCATTTTTCTTTTAAAACAACTAAAGCTAATTTATTAAAACAAAATTTTACTGTTATTTCGTGATGCCATCGTTAAAAAGTAAAGTTGCATACTATGAGAAAAGATTCGAGTAAGTTGATTAAAATAATATATTTTAAAATACAAGATACAAAATATATATCAAATAAATATTTAGTATGTTTCGATCAATTTTTTGACTATCTTCAGTACAAGTAATAGTTGTCCAATTATTAAGAATTACATGAGGTCAAAACTCTGTGATTATGAAAACCATAATCGGACAATTCTCAATATAATTTAGAATTTTTATTATCTGAAAAAAATAAAACAAATAAAATAAAATAAATAAATAAATTTTTAGTAAATTTTTAGTTAATTTATTTATTTTGACACACCTACACATAAATAAATTAGTAATATACCCTCAGAACAAAAATTAAGGGGTCTGGAAAAATTGTTTTAAAAAATCTTCTCGATTTTTAAAGCATAGCTTTGCAAAAAATCATCGCATTTTAATTAAAAAAAAATAAGCCTGCAACTTCTTTCAAATGCTTTTTGTGGATTTTAATTATCTCTTTTCTACAAAATAAGAAATACGTAAAAAATTGCATATTTTATTTTTTCTTTAATTCGATATATTGTCGTGAAAAAAGATCCAACCAAAAAGCAAAGTTTTTTAGTCCAATTCTATCTCAATAATAATGTTTACCAGCTAAAAATTTGTTTTTTATGTATCAATCGTACTCCAATTAGCGGAAATTGTTGAAAAATAAGGGATCGATCTGCTTCACCATAATAAATAAATTTAAAAAATGTCTAAAAATAATTTTTATTATTTTTTGACCATTGTAAGGGTTTTTCCTTCACAAAATTGTACCATAACTTTTACATAAAAATTTGAAATGTAGTTTGGGCGATAAAATTAAAATCAGAGCATTAACATTAGTAATATAGCTGTTACATGTTGATAATGTTATTTGCAATTGTGAAAATCTTAGTTTTAAATTTTATTCTTGCTATAATTACACAAACGTTGAAAAATATATGTATAATAGATATTTATATATCATTGTTATTAATATCTAGTTATAATTGGAAAAATGTTTAAGAAATTTATTTAACGTCAACTATCTTAAATAACAATATCTTTTCATCTTCCTTTAAAAATTCATAATAAATATGATTCATTATAAAAAAAGCTACTTTCTCTGAGTCAATAGTTCTCAGATATTCTGTGATTTTATTTGAGAGCACGCATTTCATAAAATTTCGCTGAAAGGATTTTAGCTCAAGTCTATAATCATCAACAAATGCAGTAGAGTCTCACTCGAATAGTCGGATAGCTGACTCGAGACACAGATTTGAATCAGTTTTTTTCCACAGACGCTGAAATCTTTATTCTTTCGCGTTGCAGATTATTTTAAATTCGATGCACCGTTATCAACCACGATGTCACGTGGTAGTCGCCCCTTCGCCACCAGGTTCAGCGCCGGATCCCCGAACCGAGAATTTCAAGACATTCTCCTTCTCGGAAACCAGGTTCACCGCGGTGACCGCCTATCAAAACCACCGGATAACACAGTTAAAGATCGCCAGTAACCCGTTCGCCAAAGGCTTCCGGGATTGCGAGTCTGACGAGTGCGACGGTGTGGCGGCCGTAGCTAGCGTCGGGATGCAGAATCCCGCTAAGAGATCGGCCACACACACAAGTGCCGGAAGTACCACTGGGGGCGTTTTGTTGTCCGGTTACAACGCGATGCCGGCTACAATGTCGTTCCCCGGAATATCTTCCGCTACCCAGGAGCACCATCAGTTTTACGGTGCAACGGGCGCCGGTCATTGGTCAACGCATTATCCCAGTCATCATGGACAACCGTCGGCGCACATCAACTCGGCCCATTATCCGACACACACGCAACATCCGCATTCGGACGTTTCTCTCTATGGACCGCGATAAAACAATTCAACATCACTGTATCATATTTATTATCGATCAAACCCAGTAAACACAGAACGTTGCAGCAACATTGCGGCAATGTTGCAACATCGATTTCTGTAACGAATACTTTTAACGTGTGTATTCAACGAATAATAGGGTTTAAGCGTGTCAATGATTTCTAATATATCACTATTTTTATAAATCTGATGATAACTGATCATCGAGAAAAATTGGCATGTGGTTGAAAAATAGTGAAAATAAAATGTATTTTTCCGTCATTTGTATCTTTCTCACGAATTGCAGTAATCAACTGTGCACTATCTTATCGATGGAAATTTTTCTTCTTCTAATTCTGTTAGAATGAAATCGTATTATAAAAGTATAGTGTTATTTACGAGGATTGCCTGCATTTTCGTGTCATTTGACTGTACGTTTTCCCCAACTCTTTCTTTATAAATCACATATAATTGCTAATTGTTACGAGCAATTATTACAGTTCTTTCTGTTACGCAGAAAAATTTATCGGTGCCTTCACGTCTATTTTAGATAAAAAGATGCAATATTTATATTTTAATATTTTGGTTATATCTAAAAAGATATAACGCGATAATTTATGATCATTGCATTAAGAGTGATCTCTTTTATGACTAAAATATCAAAGTATTATCACATTATTTGTGTCTTGGTTCTTTTTACAGATCTAAGAATTGTGAAATTATTTAAATTGAAACATAACTATTAGATGTACATTTACAATTTTGCATATAATGACGATTTTTAGTTTACTTGACTAAAAATAATATTTTAAGTTTACTTAACTGAAAATAAGATTTAGTACTTAATAAATGCCTTATTGGATGCTAATATTTGATTTGTTAATATTATTAATATTTGAGTATAACTTATACCAAAGATTGTGCCAATAATTGTCATAAATTATGAATCTATGTCTGAATTACAATAAACATTTTTTATCGGCTTGAATATTTACATTATATACTTCTACTAGGGGTTCCCAATTCTTTTGCCAAAAGGACTACATTAAAATTTTTGTAATGAATCGGGGACCAAGAAATTTTATTTTTAAAAATCAGATAACATTGTTAAAAAATCTTAAAAGTGAAAGTATTTTGTATATTGTCAAGTAGACATAAAACTAGACACTTGTGTTAAGTTGCGTTAATCTAGTTAAATATTAAATGGTTAGTTGAGTAAGAACCTAAAAATAAAAAAAGAATGTTGCTTTAATATAGTATATACATATATACGCCAAAATTTCTTGATGGATAAAACTTTCACGGGGGCTGTATATGATTCGCGAGTAGGTTGGGAACCGCTAACCTATACAATGATATTAAAAGAATAATATTTCATTATTGTGATATGTACAACATTAATGTATTTTTTCAAATGTTAATGCATTTGCATAAACAAAAATAGATTAAAAAATTTATCTCGTAGTGTATTATCGTATACCCTTTTTTTTTATACGCAAAGCAAAATGTTTCTCTCATCTTTGCAGGTGTTGCTTATTTTTTGCGTTAAACCGTGCACTAAAAATATCAAAAACATTAACATAATTATTTAATATAATTATGAAAGCAAAACTTTCGATTTGCGCGTTACGATATCAAGTACGATAATTACGATATCAAATTCCGTACATATTTTTCCAAACGTTCGAAATGAATTTGTGCACGAGAGAGACAAATCGACCAATCGAGATTGCCGAGCAAAGTTGCGGAAGACTGGGGAAGTGAGTACCTTTTGAAGGAGCAAAGTGCGTCTATTTATACCGGGTATCTCGAATGCCGAGCCTAAAACGCTCACGAGCCAAGGCGGGCAAGTAAACGCGCCGTGACACTTTGTGAGTCCCGTGGCTACTAAGTGCCTTAATAAATTACGGCGCCGAGTCATTGTGCCTTAAACTTTTTTTAAGATCCTTATTCCACGTATGATAGCGGTAAAAAAATGTTTTACAGCTAGACGAAGAATAAACACTCGAGTAATATAATAATGTGTATAATTTATTTCTCCTGAATCGGTTTCTTCTTTCCCGAAATCTGAATTTAACAATCTATCTTAGAAATAAAAATTTTTAGGATATGCATTTTATAATATAAATATATCATGTATAAAACGGAATGGATGAATGTGTGGAGTTAAAAATTTATGTAAACGAAGTCCTTATTGTAGACATAAAGCTGAAGCAAATAACTACATATACTACAATATATATATCATACATAAAAAGAAGAGAGAGAGAGAGAGAGGGAGAGAAAGAGAGAGAAGTGGGTTAATAATGATCAGAATTGCGAATAACATCGTCACGTAACTGAATATCGCACATGTTCTTCTTCTCCTCTCCGTTCCACTTTCTTTCTCTTTTCTATATAATATGTTTATATATTATATATAAAATATTAGAAACACATGTTACATAAAGTGTTTCTAATAACGACAATATTTGCAATAATAATTTCAAGTTTGTTAAGAAAATATTTGAATCAACTTATTTTCCATTTCTTTATTTTTGTAAATAAAAGTATAAATTCTAAAAAAAATATTTACATTTCTAAGTAAATTGTTGCAAATAATAATGTACGAGCAACTTAGAAATAAGCATTTGAAAAGTACTGCCGTTTGTTAAGACGTCACGATGCAGTAGAACTTCTATTATATTGATAGATCTACGTAAAAGTATACGCCAATCACATACAATTGTGTTTTCTGTTATTATTATTATTATTAATTATTCAATTTCCTGTAACATAAATTTATTTCACGTAGTATAACATTAAATACATTTGCAGGTATATAACATTTTAAACATTTTTTCATGATTTTTTATTAATTGTTAGTGTTCAGAAGTTTCAAGTCGTCGAGCTGTTCAAGCAGTTTGAATCTCAAGATCGAATAATTCAAACTTTAAATAGTTCAGACTTTTCAAGTTAAAGATATGTTTGAACCGGTCGAACTAATTTTAAGTTCAAAAATTTGATACTTTACAAATTAATTTTATCAAACGTAAATATGAAAAACTATGTTCCAATTTTTCTTTCTGTAATTACTCGAATCTTGAGACATTAATTAACATTATGATTACTGCTTACGTTTAAATTGTTCGATTTATCCGAAATCTCCGAACTGGATGCTTTTTTTTTTCTTTGAAACGTGTTTAAATAGTTTAAACATATATAACAATTATAACATATATAACAATTATAACATTATAACAATAGTTAAAACTCTGGAATCTTTTATTTGAGTTTAATTATTATTTAAAACATACTTAATATTTATTTTTATAATGTATTAAAAATTTGTACTATTTAAATTTACCAAAATTTTATTTTGTTATAAATAAATTTATCGTAAAAATTTTTTACATCATAGTTATTTGATTTCGGAAAAAATTATTTTATATATTCGATTAAATAACTAAATAAGATTATTGCTGATAATCATGAAAAGCATGGTTTGACATTACGAATGTCAAAAATGACAAGTCAGCGGCAACGAAGTGAAGTGGGAAGGAACTCGTGCGTTTGAGACCTCCAAGAAATGACGGACGGACCGACGCGACGTTCACTGTGATTGATGGCTGCGCGAGGAAGAGCGCTGTGTAAACATATTATAGACGCGCGCCTAATGAGTGCAATGGCTACAGTTTCTGAAGTAGAGTTAAACGCTTTGCATACCACCGTATTTTCAAAAATGTTTCCGCTTCTTACTAAATAGGAAAAGGAGATAGACTTGCTGATAGTTGGAGAAATTATACAAATTGTAACATTTCGCAGGCAATATTTATTATTAAGATACATTTTATTTGTCTCAACATCCTTGAGAACCAAACAATTCGTAATAATTACACTGTTCTTGCAAGGGTTTATTTGTTTGAGGAAAAAGACAGTTTTCCTTAATTTTTTATCCGTTAAATTTGAGTTTGGTTTCGAAAAATACATATTACATCAGAATTTTAAAAAAATCGAAGAAAAATATGTGAAAACTACAGCACAGAACATTCGAAATTCATTGCAGTAATATTGTAACGTTGTGTAGATTACAAAGTAATGTAACAAAGACATTGTAGAAATATAAAAGTGCATCATAATTCCACTAGTTTTCCTGGAATAATTTTTCACTGATATCTTGAAAACATTAAACAAATATAATGTTATAATTATATTCTAACAATAACATTGCAGCATTATTTTGCAAGTTTTGTGCAATGTTACATTATTGTGATAATATATTATTAAATAATTATATACAGCTTTAATTAATTATAGCAATGTCTCTCAATATGATATGTTATTTTAAAAAATCATACAATATTTATAAGTTATTATAAAAAATCTAATTAGTTGAATAAATCATTCTTTTAAAGATCTATTGGTAAAATCCAAAAACTTTTGGTTGAACTCAATATTTTAATTAAATTACGCAACCTACTCTTTTTTACAGAGAATAGAAAAAAATATGCAATTTTGCAAGAGTAAAATTAATAAATAAAGAACGCTATTCACACAAAATTTTAGTACTTTTAATGCATGTAGATTTACGTCAAATCAAATAATTAATCATGAATAAAAAAGAAAATTTATTCCGCAAAAGTGTGTCTCGATTAATTTATTTCCCTCGTTGGCTTGTTTATTCGCGAAATTAAGATATACAAGCTTATTCTGTGAAAGGACTTGCTTTTTCTACATTTTTGCGTACATTATAAGAAAGCACACTGTACGCCAGCATTTAGGATCTTGTCGTGTACTTTTGACACCCTAACGCCAGACATAATATAAAAGGTTACGAGACTCTTGATCCATACACAGGGAAGCTGCATTTACAGACGGCGCGTGACGGTGCCGGCAGTAAAAAACCGCCCCCATTCTTTCATCTTCGTCGTAGGTATTGCGGTTAACCAGTGTTAATCCTTGAGAGGTCAACTGACACCCGTACCGTTGCTGACACCCTTTCTGAGTTTATGTTTGAAAGTCAAAGACAGCGACGTCCCCCCCCCCCCCCCGTACCGCACAATGCCGAAAAAAGAGAAAATATCATACAAAATATTTTTACCGCCAACGTCGTTCGGAATGCACTCAAACTTGTTTCTGTTTTATTGAAGGAACGCGCGCGTATTAAAAATTATATTATAAAAAAATTATAGCAAAATTGATATTTATTATAAAATTACATGTTACTTGGAACTAATAGTGATATTAATCAAAATAAATTATGAAATTAATTTGCGATTGGAAGGCAATATACATTTAGTTGTAATCTGATAAATATTGGGCACGAGAGAGAAAGACAGAAAACAAGAGAGAAGGAAGAAAAAGAATAGGTGAGAATGGTCGAACAAAAGAGAAAGAGGAAAGGAGAGAAAAGATGAGAGAAAGAAAAAAAAAGAGATGCAGAATATATTTACTTTTTCTCTTTCTTTATATAATATGTTTATTGACTCTTACAAACCTTTTTTATAATAAGAACATGGTCCGTGATCCTAAATATGACAATTTTCATTATTCTACCATAATCCATTATTCT